ACCACTCCGACGGCTCCAACAGGTCCACCCCCCTCAGCGGCAGCTGCAGCACTGGGAGACGGAGGAGGAGGAGGAGCAGGGGACGGCACACAGAAGCTGCACCCCCAGACCCCCCACCCCCAAACCCTAATTCAGGAGAATGGGCAGCAGCAGGGGTGGGGCGCCATCAGAAGCACGGGGGACAGCGGGCAGCGCAGGGGCAGCGAAGAACGGGCCGCCCTTTTTTTTTTTTTTTTTTTTTTTTTTGAAGAAGAAGAGGGGGTTCACTAGAAAGCAGCAGGATACATATAGGAAACCCTAAGGGGTTGTACTCGCTATAGAGTACCCCACTGCAGGCTAGAGAACAATGACATTCTGACATCCAATCGTCGTCGTTTCCTCGCTTGTCGCAGTCGGGTTGGTCTGCGCTTCAGCCGTCAGATTCGTCTGACCACCAGATCCTCCGGCCATTCTCACACGTGAGCGTGTGCCGGACGCCACTTCCTGTTCGCCGAAGATTTCGGAGGTGGCAGTGCGAAGGATGCAAGTACAAAGGTATAAATAATAGTACAGGAAGGAATACGAATCGACTTAGCTAGCCATGTACTCTAAGGGGTACAACCCCTTATTACAGCAAAATCCAACCGTGCGACTCCAGACAGTTACGAAACTGTCCGGGCAGAATCCTTACTGCTGCTACTGCATGATGCTATCTGCCCGACGGTCCAGGTCCTTTTCGTAACCGTACGACGCTTCGCGTCACTTCTGCCTTTTCGCCTTCATCCTTGGTAGTGTGTGTTTCAATTGATGTGGTAAGGAGTGCACAGTGATGCTTCAATAATTACTATTCGTAACAAAACCATCGTTGGGCAACAGTCGTGCAGGTGCAGCACATAGACATGCGACGGAGGATATTGGCATGAAAAAATATGTTGGCGATAACAAGAAAAATCAAGATTGGCGAGAGCGAGTCACTTTTGTTCAAAGTACTACTCGTTTTGTTCGGAACAGTGCTCTATTGGCCTGATCTTTACAAGCTGGGACGGGATTCACTTGTCAAAGATAGAAAACATGAATAATGTGCACTATCATGAGGGAGGAGTACAATTAGTGCTAACCTTAATGGGTTGTATTCAGTACAGTCTACCCCACTGTAGCCCACACAACATATAAATCATTTTGACATCACTATTTTATATTTCGGATTTAAGCAAGTGAAGGCTTCTCACTAGTACCGTACCATGTGTGATGTGATATGTCGCCAGCCACCTGTGCTCTCGAAGCAATTACATGGGTACAGTTGGTGAACAAACGGGTACTTTGAATGGATTGGGATGGGAATTTCCGCTGCGTGAGAATGGAAAATATACTGCAGTGTTGCCAATACTTGATATTGTATTATCGAAATGGTATAAGAGGCGGGACTTCAGTTTTGTAATGGAGTCTGGATTTGTTTTCATGAAAACTGTTTCCTAAGTACCCTTTTTAGTTGTCGGTATTAGGAAAATATGCCGTTCGTAACCATCATGGGACTCGAAAACATTTTTGGTAAAAAAAAAAGGGTACGGTCACTGCAAAGGGTGTTTTCACGCGACTGATAAAGCGTTTCACGGAATCAGTCACAATCAGCTGGTAAAAAAAAACGCGAATGGTCACAGATGAAACTCCCGCCAAAACAAAATGAAACCCAGAAAGAACCTGGATGCATTTTCGGATGATCAACCCTAAACACGTAACTCGCCAGGTGTTTAGGGTTGATCCGTTCCCAAACCGCATCCGATTCCGATTGGGTTTTAGTTTTTTTACAAGTTCGCAGATTGGTTGGGCGCGAGCGGGAATTTTGTTGAGTTTCAATTTTTTTTGGCGGGAGTTACATGTGTGACCGTTCGCGTGATTTTTTACCTGTTGTTAGTGACTGAATCCGTGACCCCGCTTACCAAACCCGTCAGAAAACCCGATACAGTGACCGTACGCGTTTTTTTTTTACCATTCACGTTATCGAGTCCCAAGTTGGTTACTTGTGGCATATTTTCCCGGCGGTATTTGACCCTCCAGATAGGGTGTGTGGAGTGAACACAGGACTGGCGACTTGTTCTTCACATGGGGCACTGTACACGTTGTGGAGCAAGCTTTGTGGCTGTACTTATAGCCACAGCCATGCATTTTTCAAAACGTGTGGAATGATAAACGTTTTGGACTTTAGCAAGAATCAGGAATCCGGAGTTTCGTCTAATCAATCAAGCCAGAGTTTTGGAGAAGCCGAGTTCCACCAGCAGCCAATCAAATTTCTCGTTTCGAAGCAGCTGAGTCCGTGTGCGAACCTCGCCGGGGCTTGCGACGAGCGCCAGCTCATTCACGATATACGGCGAACGAACGGAATATGATGTAACGAGAAATCGCAAGTTCGGGACCTTGTATTCCCTATGGCTGTGCCAGCCAACGAAGTCCATTGACCAACCCAATGCGAGGTGCATTCATCTTGCTTGCAGCGCAGTTCGTGAAACAATTACTGCTGTACTGTACCGCGACGCGTAAATCCCAAGACCAAATCAGCATGGCTGATTCACCACCACCACCACCACCACCATAGATTCCATCCTGCTCGTTCCTCTCCTCCTGTCCTCTCCTCTCCACTCCCCCACCATCACCGCCCCCTCGCCATCGCCATCTCTTTCCTCCCCTCGCCATCTCCATCTCTCTCTCCATTTCTCCTACAGCTCATCTTTTCTTTGTAGCACAGTGTAGCATTCTTTTGCACCATCATCGCCTCGCACACCTTGGGAAACTCGAGCACGGCACTTGCTTGCATGTTGTAAGAGGCCAAAGCTTCACGTCTGCCTCGCCTGCCTTACGCGTCTGCAGCATTGTGTGCCTTGTGAACGGGCTCCCAGCAAGAATTGACCTTTCTTGAAAATCTCATTGTTAAAATAGTAAGTTATACGACAAGCTAAATCCATCAACGTAACGTCGTCGCTCCTCGCTCGTTGCTCTTCGCTCCTCGCCCCTCGCTCTTCGCTCTTGACTCTTCACTCTTCCCTCTTCGCTCAACGCTTTCCGCTTCCCGCGTCATGGACGCCGCAGCTTCTTCCGACTGTTACGGTTACCACAGTAGGTCCCCTTCCAGTCCGTCTCATAACGACCTTCGTTACAGTCACATAGCCGTTGATGCGCGCCAAGACATCTACAGGTACCCCCAGGGGCATGAAAGGTTTCATCCAGAGCAGCCACATCGTGAAGAAGAAATGTCTCCTTGTTCGGCTTATAACGCGTATCAGCAGATGCGTCCACCCGAACCGGGGAGACTCGATCCCGAATCTCAGGAAGAGCAGTCCGCACAGGGGAACCAATCGCGAATACATACGATATTATCTCCTAAATATACCTCCCGGCCACCAGATAGAACGCCTCCTAGGTATTGCGATCAAGTGTACTCGTCGACCCAATCACTGTCATGCACGTCGTCGGGTATTCCGCAATTTGCGGCATGCTCCGATACTACCGCGAGTTCTTACTCTCCTGTGACTCCGTCAGCTACGTCGCCTGATATCTATCCTCATCGCGACTCGTCGCAAGCATCATCGCACCGTCCATCGCGGCGCTCCGAAGATTGGAGATCATCCGACGGTCGTCCGCTGTCCGGTTCGCTGCCGATCCCGCCTCCCGCGCTTTCGTCCGACGGCTTCGCGATCTCCCCTCAGCGGCGTCTTGCGGATTCATCACCCGCCGCGTATTTCACCGACGGCGACGGAGGGCGTCGAGTAGATTCTTCCGACGGCTTCGCGATTTCCTCCCAGCGGCGTCTTGCGGATTCATCACCCGCCGCGGCGTATTATACCGACGGCGACGGAAGGCCCCGTGCGGGATCTGGAGCGCCCAGCGGCGGAGGCTTTATGAGTCTCTCCCGCCAACATGATGACCTTGCGGACCCGCCGCTCCCGGCGTATTACACCGACGGCGACGGAGGGCCCAGAACGGGATCTGGAGCTCCCAGCGGCGGAGCGCCCAGCGGCGGAGGGCCGTCCGACATTTATTCCCCCGAGAGCTTTATGAATCCCTCCCGCCGACATGTCGGCCTTGAGGGCTCGCCACCCGCGGCGTATTATACCGACGGCAACGGACGGCCCAGAACGGGTTCCGAAGCGTTCGGCAACGACGGACGGCTGCGAAGGGATTCTTCCGAAAATTTTATGAGTCTCTCCCGCCGACATGACGACCTTGCAGACCCGCCTCCCCCGGCGTGTTTCGATGGCGGCGCGAAGTGGAGCGGGTCCGGAACGGACGGTACAGCGTGGTCGGGAGGGTTCAGATCGGACGGCGCAGCATGGTCCTCGCATCCGCCGACGATGGTGCTCGAGAGGACTTCGACCGAGCCGCTGCTGTGCTCCAGCTGGCGCGAAAACGGCGCGCGAAACGGTGATTATATCGGAGGAAGCACCGGCGGGCCGCACGGCATGCGACCACATTGTGACAATAACGAAGGGAGAGGAGCTGGTGTGAGCCGCGGCGCCGGAGGTGGTGGTATGGTGGCGCCGTTAACTCGCAGCGCCAGTAGCTGTGGGACAGCGGACTATTCAGTTCACTGGGCCGGCAGTGGCGGTGTTGGCGGCTTTGGCGGCGGTGACGGCGGCTTTGGCGGCGGTAATGGCGGCGGTAGTGGCGGAGGTGGTAATATGATGGCGTCGATAACCCGCAGTGTCAGTAGCACTGGGACAGCGGACTATTCGATTCACTGGACCGGCAATGGCGGCGACAGCGGCTTCCACGGCGGCTTTCGCGGCGGGTTTGGCGGCGGGTTTGGCGGCGGTAATGGCGGCGGTAGTGGCAGCGATGGTGGCGGCGGCGCAACAAATGGCGTGTGGCGCGTCAACAGCTGCGGTGGTGAAGGTTACGGCCGCGCGTTTGGCGGCGGGAGCGGCGGCGGCGGCGGGGGTGTTCCTTGGAGCCGCGGCGAATCATATCCGCCGCCCTGTGTCGATCCGAACCTGGGTCATGCATTTCCGGAGCGCGCAGCTGGCTCACACATGGGGGTTGCCGCAGCTTCAGATTTCGGTGCGACTAGTCGCCCGGAGAACCAGCCGCAGAGGATGAACAGCCTGCCTCGAGCAGAGTCGCATATGATGGCGGTAAACACGGTTGTTGCAGATTCCGGTGCAACTAGTCGCCCGGAGAACCAGCCGGCTAGAATGAACAGCCTGCCTCGAGCACGTGGGGTGCGCTTGCCTCGTGACGAGGCGGACCGTGCTGGTTATAACGAGTGGGGAGCAATGGAACGGAGGGATGAAGAAGGGAGAGGGGTGACTAGCTTACCAGTGCGGTTGGGAAGTATGGAAAGGAGAGACGAGGAGGGGAGAGGGGTGACTAGTCTGCCGGCGGAGTGGGGAGCATTGGAGCAGCGGTGGAATGCGGTGGGAGAGGCGGGAGGGTTGGGAGGGGCGGGAGGGGTGCCGGCGCGAGTCACTCGCAGCCGGACGGAGGAGAGGAGGGGGGTCATCATGTTACCAGTGGAATGTGGGGCAATGGAACAGCGGTGGGATGCGGTGGAAAGGTTGGGAGGTGTTCCAGCGCGAGTCACTCGCAGCAGGACGGAGGGCGGGGGTGCTGGCGATGGTGAGTGGAGCTGCAATGAAATCAGCTGCCTTGGGATTGGCAGTGGCAGCCCAGGGGTTATCACGCGCAGCCGGACCGAAGGCGGGGAGGGTTGTCACTTATCAGACCCCCCCACCCTCCCCCGCGTTCCCTCTTGCGCCCTTCCCCGTGCTTCCCCCTGCGCACTTCCCCGGACGTCCCCTTCTTCCCCCAAAGTCCCCTCCCCCTCCCCGGAGTCCGCCCCCCTGAACCTCCCCTGCTCGCGCTCCCTCCAAGCGTCCAGCGTGACCAAGCCTCGGACGTCCCCCCTGGTTCGGTCGCTAGGCTCGGGAACTTTTGCTAACGGTTACTCGTTTAGTCTGTGGCAGGAAGGGCAGGAGGCGGAGGCGGAGGAGGAGCAGGAGGAGGGGAAGCGGAATGAGGAGGGGGGTTTGAGTCGGGTCAAAGGTCTGAGTGTTACTGGGAATGGGAATGGAAACGGATACTCGTTTAGCCTATGGCAGGAAGGGCAGAAGGCGAAGGAGGAGGAGGGGAATTCGAGTCGAGTCAAAAGTCCGGATGCTTCCGGAAATGGGTACTCGTTCAGTCTGTGGCAGGAAGGGCAGAAGAAAGTGGGGCGGGCACGGGGGGGAGTGTTGGAGGAGAAGGAAGGGGAGGGACAGGAGGAGAAGCGGGAGGGAGTGGGGGGAGTGGGGAGTGAGAGGCGCGCGGAGGAGCAGCAGCAGCAGCAGCAGCAGCAGTCAGAGAACTTACCAACGCGTCCGCCCATCCGTTCCTCTCCCAGGATTCAACCTTTGGAGATCCCGTCCTCCTTTCCAGAAGGCCCCCAGGCTACTTCTGAGGCGCCTCAAAAGCAGCAGTCAGAGAACTTACCAACGCGTCCGCCCATCCGTTCCTCTCCCAGGATTCAACCTTTGGAGATCCCGTCCTCCTTTCCAGAAGGCCCCCAGGCTACTACTGAGGCGCCTCAAAAGCAGCAGTCAGAGAACTTACCAACGCGTCCGCCCATCCGTTCCTCTCCCAGGATTCAACCTTTGGAGATCCCGTCCTCCTTTCCAGAAGGCTCCCAGGCTCAGAACAACCGTCTGCTGCGTTCCCCAGGGTCAGCGCCTCGTGTGACCCTTGACCTTGACGTCAGCCAAAGCTCACCTGCTCCCCTGCTTCGCTCTCCTGGCTCAGTGTCCCGCTTGACCCTCGACGCTGACTTGAACCAAAGCTTACCTCCTACGCTAGTGCGCTCTCCTGGCTCATTTCCACGCTTGACCCTCGACCCTGACGTGGGCCAAGGGTCGAATCCTCCTCCGCTTGTGACTTTTGAGTCGACTCAAAAGTCTCCTGGCTCATTCCCAAGCTTGAACCTCGACCTTGACGTGGGTCAAGGGTCGAACCCTCCTCCGCTTGTGCGCTCTCCTGTTTCATTGCCAGGCTTGGCGCCTCAAAACGGGTTCGAGAATCTTGTTATGCCTTCTGTTACGGTTGCAGCTGAGCATGGTTTGGACGCTGACCAAAGGGGAGAGAGGGGCACGCAAGTGGGGGAAGGGGAGGCGCCGAGCGGGGAGGGGGATGCGGAGGGCAGGCCGATGGGATTCTCAGACCACTTTAAGCAACTTAGGCGGAAGGGGCTTGTTCAGAAGCAGCTTCGCGAGCAAACCATGCTTGCAGGCTTGGGAACCAGCCTAGTCGACCGCTCGGAAACAGGGGGGGTCTCAGGCTCGGGTCCAGGCTCGGAAATCAGGTCGGAAAATAGGGACGGAGAAAGGATGCAGGGGGGGCAGGGAGCAGTGATAGAGTTGGGTGCAGAGGGGCGGGACTTGGGAGCAGCGGAAAAGCAGAGCCAGGGGGTGCGGAACACACAACCAGGAGCAGCGCTGCGACTGGGGCTGGGAATGGTGTTGAGGCAGACGGGGCAGCAGGGGCAGACGGGGCAGCAGGGGCAGACGGGGCAGCAGGGGCAGTGGGAGCAGCAGGGGCAGACGGGGCAGCAGGGGCAGTGGGAGCAGCAGGGGCAGTGGGAGCAGCAGGGGCAGGGAGCAGAGGTGAGCGCAGAAGGACAGGAGGAGTTTGACTTCCAGAGCTCACTTGACGATGCTTGTTTCAGTGCCACGTTCAGTGGGGTTAGCAACAGTAACAGCAGCAACGGCAACAGCAGTGGCGGCAACGGTCCCAGCAGCAACAGCAGCAGCAGCATTAGCAACAGTCATAGCGGCAGCACCCACAGCAGTGGCAGCAGCAGCAGCAACAACAGCAGCAGCAGCAGCGGCCAAAACACCACTGCAGTTCCACCTTCCCCAGATGTTCCTCCCTCTGGAGCAGGAGAAACAGCGCGTATCCCCAGAGCGACTGCCTATTTGTCAGGTAAAGCCTTACAGACAGGTAACACCTCCCCCAGATGCAGCCCAGCAGCTAACGCCTCCCTCAGACGCAGCCCAGCAGGTAACGCCTCCCCCAGACGCAGCCCAGCAGCACCAGGGCTGTCTGCTTGGGCTTGTAAGGGTTCTGATAGTTACGGTGGTGTTGCCGGTGCTGGTGGTGTTGCTGCTGGTGGTGGTTCTGGTGACGGTACTGATGATGGTGATGATGATGGTGACGGCCTACGAGTGAATGAGATTTCTCTTTGCTTGGGGATTGCCAACAAAGCAGCAAAGGAGGAAAGAGGGAAAGATAAGGTCAGGTGTTCTCCCAGGTATTCCCCCAGGTGCTCCCCCAGGTGCTCCCCCAATGCCTCGCCTAAAGGGAGTAGCATGTCGTTTAACCTGTGGACACCTGAGAAAGCCCCTGAGACGGGTCAGAATAGCCGGATAGAGAACTTGCACAAGCACCTGATGGGGCTCCAGGCTCAAGGGCTTGACTTTGCTGCTGTTGGTGTTGCTGTTGGTTGTGGTGGTGCTGCTACTGCTGCCACTGCTGGTGCTGCTGTTGATGTTGGTGGTACTGCCGCTGCTGCCACTGCTGGTGCTGCTGTTTATGTTGGTGGTGCTGCCGCTGCTGCCACTGCTGGTGCCGCTGCTGCCACTGCTGGTGCCGCTGCTGCCACTGCTGGTGCTACTGCAGAAGCAGCAACGGTTCGACCAGCAACAGCCGGAGCAGCAGCACCAGCACAGCCACCGCTAATGCGCGCCATATCAGGGCGAGACGTTGATGCTAAACTGAGAGATCTGGCTAGAGTGGCGTCAGCTGCAGCTCCAGCAGCTGGAATCGCAGCAACACCAGCAGTACCAGCAGCACCAGCTGTACCAGCAGCACCAGCTGTACCAGCAGCACCAGCACAGCCAATGCTAGTGCGGGCCACATCAGGGCAAGACCTACATTCAAAGCTGAGAGATCTGGCTAGAGTGGCGTCAGCTGCTTCACCAGCAGCACCAGCAGCACCAGCAGCACAAGCAGTACCAGCAGCACCAGGAGCTGGAACCGCAGCAGCACCAGGAGTACTGGCAGCAGCAGCACCACGAACAGCACCGACAGCAGCGGTACAGGCATCGCTATTGCGGGCCACATCAGGGCAACACGTTTATGCCAAGCTGAGAGATCTGGCTAGAGTTGCGACAGCTGCAGCAACAGCAGCTGGATCAGCAGCAGCACCTGCACTACCGGCAGCAGCAGCAGCTGCTGCTGCTTCTGCAGCTGTCGCAGCAGTGGTAGCAGGAACAGCAGCCATGGAAGGACCAGCAACACCAGAAGCGGGAGAGGTACAGGCACCGCTATTGCGGGTTGCATCAGGGCGAGACGTTGATGCCAAGCTGAGGGATCTGGCTAGAGTTGCTTCAGCTGCAGCACAAGCAGGACCGACATCAGCAACAGTTGCAGGAACAGCAGTAACAGCACAAGCAGCAACAGCAGCAGAAGCAACAGCAGCAGCACGTGAACCATTAGCAAGGGCTTTAATGGGAAGGGATTTGGATTCGAGACTGCAGGATCTAGCCCGTGCGGCATCAGCTGCAACAGCAACAGCCAGTGGGCCAAGGCCCGTGGCACTCGCACGCGCACAGACATCAAGAACAGGATCAGCATCACCATATGCAGCACTGGCACGCGCACAAACAGCAACTGCAGGCTCTGTTGCATCCGTATCAGCATTACCATCATCAGCAGCATCAGCGACAGCAGCGGCAGCAGCAGCGGCGGCGGCGGCGGCAGCAGAGGAAAACCAAGGGAGCAGCAGTTGGATCAACAGCATGACCACCCCAAGGGCCAGGGGGAGCAGGGAGAGTGTGGAGGTCACGAGAACATGCTCTGAGCCAGCAGCGCTGGGGGGTGTTGAGCGTGTGTTATCTGCTGATACGTCGAGCTCGGATCTCTCGGTTTGCAGCAATGACAGCTCCCACCACCAGCAGACCCAGCAGCAGCAGCAGCAGCAGCAGCAGCAGCAGCAGAAGCAGCAGCATTACCATCGGCGTCACAACCAACACTCTCAGCACGACTCGCACCAGATTAATGGCAGCCACAGTGAGCAGCATGAGAGGTACGTGATCAGTCTTGAACCGGCTCGAAATGACTCCGACCACGATCAAGGGGATGGGTTGACGGACCTTTCCAGGTCGTACGGAGGAGAAAGTGAGCTCTCTAGGCAATGGAACTTGGCAAATGCCGATCATTTAAGTCACGTTCCCTGTAGTCCCAGCCGTCGGCCAGGAGGGGGGGGGAGCACCGGAGGGGGAAGTGGAGGGGGGGGAGGGGGAGAGGGAGGGAGTGGAGGAGGGAGGAGCACGTTGAGGCAGCTGTTTGGGGTGTTTAGATTCAGGAGGGCGGAGAGTAGGAGTATAAGTGTGAGGGAGACCCAATCCCATGATGCTTCCTGGGCCAGGCGCAAACCCGCATTCCCTTGAGTGCTGAGCATGCTAAAGCACTTGCTTCGGGTGTTAGGGTTCAAGAGGGCGGAGAGTAGGAGTATGAATGTGAGGGAGACCCAATCCCATGATGCATCCTGGACCAGACGCAGGCTCCCATTCCCCTAAGTGGTGGGCACTTTGAAGCAGCTGCTTGGGGTGTTTAGGTCTAGGAGGGCGGAGAGTAGGAGTGTGCGGCTGGGAGTGAGGGAGACCCAATCCCATGATGCTTCCTGGACAAGACGCAAACAAGCATTCCCGGTGCTGAGTTGAGACGTCTGGAAGCTGCTTTGGGGGGTTTGGAAACGCAGCTGGAGTAGCCAGAAGGAGTGAGTGTGTGTGGCTGGCCGTTTGTTAAGACACGATCGCATGATGCTTCCTGGACCAGACGCAAACCCGCATTCCCCTGATTGCTGAGTTGAGTGAGAGGTCTGGTAGCTGCTGTTGGGCGGTTGAATTGAAAGAGCAGCTGGGTTTACCGGTAGGAAGTATCCAGCAGGAGTGCGGGGCTGGCCGTGAGGGAGACCTGCTGAGACGGGATAACAAAAGATGGATTATCATGCTGCTAGTTGCATACGGTAGTGTTTTTGTTGCCTAGCAGACAACCTTTTTCCAGCAGTGTATTGTACAATACCGTAACTGTAAGAATCAACATGTTTTAGGAAGCAATGGTACCACATCCACTGCGACAATTGTTGTGCAAATGCAGCTGCCCACATGGAAGTAATTCAACCCTCCACATCATCTCTTGGTATCAACTTTTGGTATCAAAACACTAATAACACTAAGTACGTAGGCACATGCACTGAAGGAGCCAATCAATACAAATGGATATGAAATTTGACAAGTGTCAGATTTTGACAGAATACCATTAGGCATGCATTGTATTGTATGGCCGGAGTGACTAATCCCAGAGGCTGCACTCTCTGTTCTCCAGTGCACTACAGTCCCTGAAACCAAACACAATATGGGCAGATGCAACCAAAAAAGAACGAAGATGCAATTACTAAACATCAAGATGCAATCCCAAAAGCTGCTTTGTCTCTTCTCCAGAGCAGTTCCTGAAACCAAACACAATATGGGGAGATGGGAGAGCATCAAGTATGCAACCTTTTTGCCTGTGAGTGAGTGAGTGAGTGAGTGAGTGCATGGGATGTGCAAGCCCCGTACCAGACCCAACAAACCACACCAGACTCACCAACCCACAACCAGTGACCATACTTATCAACCAGTAGCACGAACTCCCACCTTATGCATGGGACCTGGTAAACCACACCCCAAGGTGTTGTCTCATGTATGGGGTGTCGTTTTATGTATGACACGTCAGACGTCATTCCATGCATGACTGACACCCCTGAAAGTCCCCTTTTGCCCCCTATTGTCTCGTCCTTCTCAATATCACATATATTCCTTTCATGGTTCTCCCACTTCCACAATCACATTACACGCTCCGCACTCTCCACCCTTCCTCTTGTCCTCGTCTTGCTTCTCCCTCACCCCACCTGCACTCATCTCCTATCTCTCTACTCTTAACTCGACCTAAAAGTTTCCAGCTAACCCCCCAGTACCTCCATTGCCCCATACCCACTCTCATCCCCCCATCCCCCCCCCCCTACCACCTCCTCCTCTACCCCCTGTTCCTCTCTCCCTCTCTACCTCTCCTCATAACGGCGTCCCTAAGTAGGCTCTTAAGTTTCTACGTATCCCATCTGTACCTAACCCATTGCTCACCGTATCGCAACATGGTCTCGTTACAAGGTCGTCCCGTTACAAGATCAGCTCTGCTCCGCGGTTTCGCTGTAGAGCTTGTGAATCCGCGTGTCTTTACCCCACCCGACGTTCTTAATCGACGACAGGTATTTTTGCACCAGCTCGCTACAATTCTTAATATGATTCACCCCCTCCGTGCGGTAACACTGCTTCAACTGTTCGCGAAGCAGCTTCGCACGCTCGATCGCGACCATCTTTTCGCGAACCAGCCATTCGCGATGCTCGAGCATCGCCACCGGATCCGCGTACGGGTTCTTCGGGTCGAAATCGTCCGGCGGCGTTACATCGAACGTCGGCTTCCCCTTAAACACCATCGTCGCGGAAAGCCGGCGCGACACGCGAAATGGCGAGAATAGCAGCGGCGGAAGCGGCGGGAAGCGCGGCGGAGTGAGCGCGGGGCGGAAGGAATGGAAATGGCGGGAAGCGACTGAAGTATGCGCGCACCCTAGCAAAACTAGAGAAAAACTGGTTCCATATTGCAAAACTGTAACGTACGATTTTGTTTCCGGGTTTTGGGTGTACACATGAGGTTTTTTTGTACGAACCAAATGTTGTACAGTGCTTGAAAATGTAGCTCCAGAAATTGGTTTCGGCACTAGTAACGCTACGTGCTGATATCGAGAACAATTCGTTGCTTCCTGTGAAACTCATCACTCTCCTCCGACAGATGATCAGAGGAGGCTTGTGAACGAGCTAGCGCTTCGTTACATCGGAGACATAGCACCAGCCTCGCGCCTCCGTGCCGCCCCAATGGCGACGCCAGCGGCAGTAGCACCGTCGCAGCAGGCGAACGACGTAGACTATCTCATAACGAATGTGCTTATGCCGGTGGACGCGGACGAAGAGGGGAATCCCATGAACGGGTAGGCTCGGGATTAGTCGCGTGAGTGGTCCCTTAAGCAGCTTCTTCCCGCGCCGTCTCCTCCCCTTCTGCTTGCTTGCTCTCGTGCTTAATCCTCGTGTTCCCTCTCCGTTCCCCTCTCCCCTCCCCTCCCCCATCCCCTTCCCCCCAGGTACGCACGTCTCGCGGAGTGATAGAGTCGGTGGTCCGCACATCCCCCATCACTTTCCCCCACCCCCCCCTCTCCCCCCTTCCTCCCTCTTTTCTCTCCATAACCCCCTTTCCCCCTCCCCCATTCCCCCAGGTACGCGCGGTTCACTGTGCGCATGTCTCGCGGAGTGATAGAGTCGGTGGTCCGCACATCGCCCATCACACCCCACGCCGTCACTCACGCCGCTGCCGCTGCTGCCGCTGCTGCCGCTGATGGCGCTGGTGGTGCTGATAGTACTGCTTGTGATGCTGCTGCTGCTGCTGCTGAGGCTGGTGACGCAGCAGCTGCAGGTGGCAGGGCTGTACACGTTATAGACGGAACCGATAAGATGGTACGTCCATCCATACCGGCATACCGGTACATTCGACATCCCTTCCTGCTACATTTCTTTCCTCTGCCACAGCGTCATCAGACCAGACCGTCTCTCTCCTGGATTGAAGCCTCTTCAAACTGAAGGCGTAAAGGAGAAATGCCTCTCAACTTACGTGGGGGTGGGTGGGGCAAGGAGAGACATAGTGAAGAAGAGAGAGAGGGGGACTATGGACACTGTAGGGACTATGGACACTGTAGGGAGTATGGACACTGTAGGGAGTATGGACACTGTAGGGACTATGGACACTGTAGGGACTATGTATGGACACTGTAGGGACTATGGACACTGTAGGGACTATGGACACTGTAGGGACTATGGACACTGTAGGGACTATGGACACTGTAGGGACTATGGACACTGTAGGGACTATGGACACTGTAGGGACTATGGACACTGTAGGGACTATGGACACTGTAGGGAGTATGGACACTGTAGGGACTATGGACACTGTAGGGAGTATGGACACTGTAGGGACTATGGACACTGTAGGGAGTATGGACACTGTAGGGACTATGGACACTGTAGGGAGTATGGACACTGTAGGGAGTATGGACACTGTAGGGACTATGGACACTGTAGGGAGTATGGACACTGTAGGGACTATGGACACTGTAGGGACTATGGACACTGTAGGGAGTATGGACACTGTAGGGAGTATGGACACTGTAGGGACTATGGACACTGTAGGGACTATGGACACTGTAGGGACTATGGACACTGTAGGGACTATGGACACTGTAGGGACTATGGACACTGTAGGGACTATGGACACTGTAGGGACTATGGACACTGTAGGGACTATGGACACTGTAGGGACTATGGACACTGTAGGGACTATGGACACTGTAGGGAGTATGGACACTGTAGGGACTATGGACACTGTAGGGACTATGGACACTGTAGGGAGTATGGACACTGTAGGGACTATGGACACTGTAGGGACTATGGACACTGTAGGGAGTATGGACACTGTAGGGACTATGGACACTGTAGGGACTATGGACACTGTAGGGAGTATGGACACTGTAGGGAGTATGGACACTGTAGGGACTATGGACACTGTAGGGACTATGGACACTGTAGGGACTATGGACACTGTAGGGACTATGGACACTGTAGGGACTATGGACACTGTAGGGACTATGGACACTGTAGGGACTATGGACACTGTAGGGACTATGGACACTGTAGGGAGTATGGACACTGTAGGGACTATGGACACTGTAGGGACTATGGACACTGTAGGGACTATGGACACTGTAGGGACTATGGACACTGTAGGGACTATGGACACTGTAGGGACTATGGACACTGTAGGGACTATGGACACTGTAGGGACTATGGACACTGTAGGGACTATGGACACTGTAGGGACTATGGACACTGTAGGGACTATGGACACTGTAGGGACTATGGACACTGTAGGGACTATGGACACTGTAGGGACTATGGACACTGTAGGGACTATGGACACTGTAGGGACTATGGACACTGTAGGGAGTATGGACACTGTAGGGACTATGGACACTGTAGGGACTATGGACACTGTAGGGACTATGGACACTGTAGGGACTATGGACACTGTAGGGAGTATGGACACTGTAGGGACTATGGACACTGTAGGGAGTATGGACACTGTAGGGAGTATGGACACTGTAGGGACTATGGACACTGTAGGGACTATGGACACTGTAGGGACTATGGACACTGTAGGGACTATGGACACTGTAGGGAGTATGGACACTGTAGGGACTATGGACACTGTAGGGAGTATGGACACTGTAGGGACTATGGACACTGTAGGGAGTATGGACACTGTAGGGAGTATGGACACTGTAGGGAGTATGGACACTGTAGGGACTATGGACACTGTAGGGAGTATGGACACTGTAGGGACTATGGACACTGTAGGGACTATGGACACTGTAGGGAGTATGGACACTGTAGGGAGTATGGACACTGTAGGGACTATGGACACTGTAGGGACTATGGACACTGTAGGGACTATGGACACTGTAGGGACTATGGACACTGTAGGGACTATGGACACTGTAGGGACTATGGACACTGTAGGGAGTATGGACACTGTAGGGACTATGGACACTGTAGGGACTATGGACACTGTAGGGACTATGGACACTGTAGGGAGTATGGACACTGTAGGGACTATGGACGCTGTAGGGAGTATGGACACTGTAGGGACTATGGACACTGTAGGGAGTATGGACACTGTAGGGACTATGGACACTGTAGGGAGTATGGACACTGTAGGGACTATGGACACTGTAGGGAGTATGGACACTGTAGGGAGTATGGACACTGTAGGGACTATGGACACTGTAGGGAGTATGGACACTGTAGGGACTATGGACACTGTAGGGACTATGGACACTGTAGGGAGTATGGACACTGTAGGGAGTATGGACACTGTAGGGACTATGGACACTGTAGGGACTATGGACACTGTAGGGACTATGGACACTGTAGGGACTATGGACACTGTAGGGACTATGGACACTGTAGGGACTATGGACACTGTAGGGAGTATGGACACTGTAGGGACTATGGACACTGTAGGGAGTATGGACACTGTAGGGACTATGGACACTGTAGGGAGTATGGACACTGTAGGGACTATGGACACTGTAGGGAGTATGGACACTGTAGGGACTATGGACACTGTAGGGAGTATGGACACTGTAGGGACTATTGAGGCGCCTCAAAACGCAACTACGTGGGGGTGGGGCAAGGGGAGACATTGTCAAGAAGAGAGAGAGGGGGCTAACCCTTCAATCACCGCATCAATACAAAGGACCGCTTGAGGGGGACATTTGACATTGTAGGGACTCAGATGCCCGTCTCTCCCCCGCAACCCTTCTCCCTGCTCATTTGTCAAGCCCCCCCTGCCCCTACTTTTTCCCTGAATCACACTGCACACACACACAGCATAGAGGGATGCTGCAACGTGGTGGAACGTGGTGCAGCCCTCCCGCCTCCCAGGATAGGAGACGACTTTTGAGGCGCCTCAAGAGCCACTATCTCTATCACTATCACTCTCTCCTACTCCCTCCTCCCTCCCATCTTTGTGGCTCAGCTGCTGCCAGGGATGGTCAACGCACACACCCACAGCATAGAGGCGTGGGGCAGAGGGGGAATCGTGCCACTGGTGAGATGTTACCAAGTTCGGTGAGATGTAACACGGCTTGGTGAGATGAAACTCCTTTGGTGAGACAAGAAGGAGGCCTTATAATGAGATGAATGGCATGATCAGCTGCTGGGAAATGCAATTTGTCACAGAAAAATCATCGTACTTTTTTACTTTTTTATTTTAACCCTTTTCCCTTGTTTCATTCTTTGTTTGTTATTCATATACGATGCCCCTTCTTCCTCTTACTCTCTGTTCCAGCCCCTGGAGCTGTGGGTGAATTCGCTTTTTACCCACATGGACCCCCGAGGACCCAACCCCTCGGTTTCCGCGGATGTGGTGAGAGGGGAGGGGAGGGGTGCACCAAGGGGAGGGGAGGGGAGGGGCGGAGGGGGAGGAGAGGGGAAGGGAGGGGAAGGGAGGGGAGGAGAGGGGAAGGGAGGGGAGGGGAGGAGAGGGGAAGGGAAAGGAGGGGTGCACTGAGGGGAGGGGAGGCGAGGGAAGGAGTAAAGTCGGGTCGAAGGAGCAGAAGGGTGGTGTGGTGTGGTGTGGTGCAGTGAGGTTGAGTGGCGAACGGGTGTGGTGAGGTGTGTTGAGAGAAAGGGGCGGAGTAATGTCACCCAATCTGTCATACCGTACCACACCCCACCGCATTTAAACTTGATCCCACTACACCACACTGCACTACACCCCACTACACCACACCACACACACCATACCACTCCCCACCGTACCACATCCCACCGCACTTCACCCCACCAGGTGTATTGGGCAGCCCTGCACACGGCAGTAGAGACCATCATGACTGGCGGCACAGCAGTAATGGATCACCTGTGAGTATTCCTCGTTACCGTTCTCCACCCCTCTGCCACTCACCATGCCTCTCCATGCCACTCAATATACCTCTCCATGCCTCTGCACCGCACTACAACCTCGTATTGTTTCTTTTCCCGAGACCTCTTCGTTTTGCAGCCAATTTGACCCCCTAGCCCCCATCCCATTTCCTCTCACACCCCCACTTCCCCTCCGTTTCACCCCCCATCACCCTTCATTTTCCCTCCGTTTCACCCATTCCCCCCTATTCCCCTGCAACTTCCTTTCAATCCCCCTCATCTTCACCCTTCCACTGGCGACTTCCACCCCCCCAAGTACATCCGGGATCTATCGGACCTGGAAGCTGCAGTGAGGGCATACAAGCACGTCGACACTCTTCCCAGTTCCCCCCATTACCCCCCAAATAGCTCCATCCCCTTTCCTCGGCTCCCCCAATCCATCCCCCCAGGTACATCCGGGATCTATCGGACCTGGAAGCTGCAGTGAGGGCATACAAGAAGCACACCGCCATCCACCCCAATCCTCCCCCCTCCCCGCCCAAGTAGCCCCCATTCCACCCGGTCCCCGGTTTGCCCATCCCCTCAGGTACATCCGGGACCTATCTGACCTGGAAGCTGCAGTGAGGGCATACAAGCACGTGGGCATCAGAACCTTCATTGCCCCGTGCGTGCCACTCCACTCCACTCCTTTCCACACCCCTCCATCCCTTTCCACACCCCTCCATCCCTTTCTACACCTCTCCTTGTCTCACACGCCGCGCTCTGTGTGTGTCCCCCACCCCGCATGTCCATCCCAAAGCACCGAGTGCCGCATTAAAAAGCATAAGGGCACATGTGTAAACTAAAGGATACTTTTGTGAGAAGTATTATAAAGTAAAGCTCACATTCGTCTGTTTCTCCAAAGTCTCTCTGTTGGTCCATCTGCATTACCATGCCCTTCCCACTCTCAACCTGCATGTTGTTCCATGACGTCTCAACCTGCATTGCCTACATTGCCCCACGCACAACCTGCATCTCCCTCCTCTGTTATCCTCTTTCCGCAATGTAGTTTTGAGACGTCTCGTTTTGAGACGTCTCGTTTTGAGCAAAGTCTGCCCCCTCATCCTCCTCTCCTTCTCCTCTCCCCTTAGTCCTCCCCCCTCATCCGCTCCGGTCCTTGCCCTCCCCACTCTTTGTCTTCCCCCCTTGTCCCATGTGCAGTATGCTAGGCGATTTGGACGTCTCAGTAAGTATCTCTTGCTTCCCCTCCTCCTTTTGGAGACTTTTGAGTCGCGTGTAGCGAGGTTGTTTTTGAGACGTCTCAAAAAGCCACGTGTAGCGAGGTTGTTTTTGAGACGTCTCCTGCTCCTCCTCAAAAACAACCTCGCTACACTCGACTCAAAAGTATCTTTTGCTTCCCCTCCTCCTTTTCGTCCATTCGCCTTTTTCTCGCATTTTTCCTTCCTCCCTGCCTCCCTCCCTCTCTGTCTCCCTATCTTTCTGTCTCCCTATCTCCCTGTCTTCCTGTCGCCCTTCCATTCCCTCACAATTTTTGTTAGTTCTTGCACAGACGACTTTCCCCCTTGACCTCCCAACTCCTCCTGCATCTGCCCACACATGTAGAAAGTAGATCTACTTGAGACGTCTCCTTAGACGTCTCCTTTTGAGACGTCTCATGTAGAATCTACGTTCTACACGTGACTCCTCCTGCATCTGCCTCCACACCGCCGCCTCCTCCCAAAACCCCGTCCCCCCCCCCTCACCAGAACTACTTCCCGTTGGTCCCGGACGCCTGTGCGCGCAACGAGAGGGCGAGGGAGGAAGGGACCTGGCGCCATAAGAGGTGATGCGGCACCCCTTGCTGATAACCCCCCGCCCTCCACACACCTCCTCCCCTTCCCCCCCCACCAGAACCACCTCCCGTTGGTACCGGACGCCTGTGAGCGCAACGAGAGGGCGAGGCAGAGAGGAGGGAGTGGTGATCTGGCGCATAGGGTGTGGCTGAAGGTATCTTGCCTTCTCCCCTCACTACCTCCACCCCCTTTGCCCCCCACCCCACCAGAACTACTTCCCCTTGCTACCCCCCTCTTCTCGCCTCCTTCCCACCCCACCAGAACTACTTCCCCTTGCTGCCGGACGCCTGTGAGCGCAACGAGAGGGCGAGGGAGGGAGGAGGGGACCTGCCCGCTGCACCCATGTCAACACAACTTTCCCCTTAATCCCCTCCCCGCCTCCCACCCTCTCCCCCAACCCCCCCCCACCAGAACTACTTCCCCTTGGTGCCAGATGCCTGTGAGCGCAACGAGAGGGCGAGGCAAGAGGGGTTGTGCCCCTGGCGCCCTCCCCTCCCCACCTCCCCAACCTCCCCCCTCCTATCCCCTTCCCCCTCCGCCACCCCCCCCTCACCAGAACTACTTCCCCTTGGTGCCGGACGCCTGTGAGCGCAACGAGAGGGCGAGGGAGGAAGGGGTGTGTCCTGGCGCCATGGGGAGTGATGGGTATTTCAGGGAGCAACTGGCAGAGCGGCAGGTGGGTGTGACTGTGTTGCAGGGGCGAGTGGGGTGCTACAGGTGGTTGTATACAGGTGTCTTGTGTGAAGTGGGGTGGGGCGGTGGAGGGCAGGTGTCTTGTGTGAAGTGGGGTGGGGCGGTGGAGGGCAGGTGACTTGTGTGAAGTGGGGTGGGACGGTGGAGGGCAGGTGTCTTGTGTGAAGTGGGGTGGGACGGTGGAGGGCAGGTGTCTTGTGTGAAGTGGGGTGGGACGGTGGAGGGCAGGTGTCTTGTGTGAAGTGGGGTGGGACGGTGGAGGGCAGGTGTCTTGTGTGAAGTGGGGTGGGACGGTGGAGGGCAGGTGTCTTGTGTGAAGTGGGGTGGGACGGTGGAGGGCAGGTGTCTTGTGTGAAGTGGGGTGGGACGGTGGAGGGCAGGTGTCTTGTGTGAAGTGGGGTGGGACGGTGGAGGGCAGGTGTCTTGTGTGAAGTGGGGTGGGACGGTGGAGGGCAGGTGTCTTGTGTGAAGTGGGGTGGGACGGTGGAGGGCAGGTGTCTTGTGTGAAGTGGGGTGGACTCCTCCTTGGTATCTCTGGAGGTAATTCTGGAATGGACTCATAGGATTGAATTAATTATTAAACCAGGATGGGGCGGTGGAGGGCAAGTATCATGTGAACTCTTCATGCTTTCTCTGCATCCTTCAATCCACTCTCCTCACACCCCCTCTCCTCACACCCCCTCTCCTCACACCCACTCTCCTCACACCCACTCTCCTCACACCCCCTCTCCTCACACCCCCTCTCCATCGCTCCCCTCTCCTGCATCACTCTACCTGTCCCTGCCTCCTCCCCTCCTCCATTCCCTCCCTTCATCCCCTCGTCTCTCCACAGGAGGCCAACACCGAGAGGGTTCTTGCCCTGTGGAGGGAAGCTGCGCAGAAGTTTCACGATCCAGAGGGTGGCATCAACATTGTGATTGGTCCCGTGCAGAACTGGGGAGCATCCGTGAGTTGACTCCCGTTGACCGGTGTTGACTGGCGTTGACTGGTGTACTTCTGTGAGTTGATCATCATTGACTGGCATTGACTGGCGTTGACTGGCGTTGACTCTCAGGGGCATCAACATTGTAATTGGTTCCGTGCAGAACTGCATCTCCCTTCCTTCCTCTCTCCAGGACGAGCTAATACGGAGGGCAGTGAACATCAGAAAGGAGTTCCGAATTGTGCTGTACTGATGAAGGCGAGATTGGGTTCTGCCCATCCGCCGAAACTAGTTTACGCAAGGATGCTTTTCGGAGACAAAGGGTTTTTCCGATCTGCGAATTTCACACTGTTTTTTGCTGTTGATCCTTTTGCTTAAGCGTCATCTTCACTATTGCAGCCCTTCGAAGAATGAGTCGCGGAACTGCATCTCCCTTCCTTCCTCTCTCCAGGACGAGCTAATACAGAGGGCAGTGGACATCAGAAAGGAGTTAGGGCTGTGCGGTCACATCCACTTGCTGGAATCACGGATGCAAAAGTAAGCGATCATTTTCCCACGCACGCACGCAGCAAGCAGCAGTATACGCACCAGTAGCATCTACTGCAGCTGTCTCCCCTTCTCCTCCTTCCTCCCCTACTCCTCCTTCCTTCCTTGCTCCTCCTTCCTCTTCCCTCATCCACACAAGACTGCGGAATTAATCGCGCTACTTGGATGGGGGGGGGGTGTGACTTAAATGCCCCCCAAAAGGCTCAGACTTATTATTATTATTATTGTTATTGTTATTGTTATTATTATTATTGTTATTGTTATTGTTATTATTATTATTATTATTATTATTATTATTATTATTATTATCATCCTCCTCTTCTCCTGCTTTCCTCGCCTCCGCGCCATCAGACTGCAGAGCAGATCGCGCTACCCGGATGGAGGGTGTGTGAAACTACTGAAAGACATCGGGTGGCTGTCACTCCCTGGGTCCTCCTGTGCGCACTGCGTGTGGCTGGTGAGTTGGATGGAAGATGCTTGTTGGCATGCATGTTGCATCCACCACCTACTTGCATTCCCACCTGCCTTTATTCCCACCTGCCTTTATTCCCACCTGCCTTTATTCCCACCTGCCTTTATTCCCACCTGCCTCTATTCCCACCTGCCTTTATTCCCACTTGCTTTTATTCCCACCTGCACTCACCACCTGCTTTGGACAAATTCATCCCAAATCCCATCCATTTTTCAGGTGGAAGAGGAGCAAGCAATCATGGCGGGGTGTGGGGCATTGGCTGTGCATAGCCCCGTCTCCAACCTCCGTCTCGGCTCTGCCGTTGCCCCCATCCCAATTTCTATGTGCCTGCTTCCATTCGATTTCCTCTCTTTGCAGGAGGAGGAGCAGGCAATCATGGCGGAGTGCAGGGCAGTGGCGGTGCGGAACCCCGTCTCGTCTCGGGCTTTGCTCCCATCCCATCCCATCCCATGTGCCTGCTTGCATTCATTCAATTCTTCCCCCGCACCTGCATATCCGTATCCCACTCTCAGGAGGACGAGGAGCAAGCGATCATGGCGGAGTGTGGGGCAGTGGCGGTGCATAACCCCGTCTCCAACCTCCGCCTCGGCTCGGGCATTGCTCCCATAAGAGCGTACCTCGATAAGGGCATTACTGTGGCTATCGGGTGCGATGGGCAGTGCTCGAACGACTCGCAGGACATGCTGGAAGCCGTGAAGATGGCGTGTATTGTCAACCCGGTGAGTATGCATCTGTGCTCGCATAACCCTAGCTGTTGTCTGGTCACATACTGACAGGCAGATAGAAAGTTGGCCATGTTTTTTGTAGCTGCTAAGTGTGACGGGCAGCGCTCGAACGACTCCCAGGATATGCTGGAAGCCGTGTATTGTCAACCCTGTGAGTAAGCAATACGTGCAGTGTAGATGCAGAGTATATAATGTGCATGTATGTATGGTTATTAAAACGTAGTGTACATGCCTATATATGTATATTTATATATATCCAAGAAGCTCTCTCCTTCTATCAACTGCCTTCCTCTTGTCCCTCTTCTCTCCTACTTCCTTCCCTGAATACATCTCATCTCACCACAGCTCACAACCCCCGAGTATCGCCAGTGGTTGTCCCCACGCGAAGTCCTCAGAATGGCAGCAGAGGGAGGCGCGGCAGCAGTGGGCATGAGAGGGCGGGCAGACTGGGGCAATCAAACCAAGAGGTTCCTGCCTTTCAGTCCACTGCCTTCATTTCGTCTCCGTTCCTCAGTTGAATATTTAATATTTAATATTCTCCGCCTCTTTTTATTTCCTTTCTTTAATATTTCCCTCAATACAGCTCACAACCCCCGAGTATCGCCAGTGGTTGTCCCCAAGGGAGGTGCTCAGAATGGCAGCAGAGGGAGGCGCGGCAGCAGTGGGCATGAGAGGGCGGGCAGGTCAAATTAAGCATGGCTATGTGGCGGATGCTGTGCTGGTGGATCTGACTACCCTCTCCATGCTGCCTCGAGCCGACCCTGTAGGGCAACTCGTGCTCACCCGGCAAAGGTGGGTGGGATGTTGGTGGGTAGGGCCAGGTACTGGGAAGAGCGATCAAGGCTGGCTATGTGGCAGACGCTGTGTTGGTGGATCTGACTGCTCTTTCCTTGCTGCCTCGAGCCGACCCTGTGGGGCAACTGGTGCTCACCAGACAAAGGTACAGAGGGAGGGAGGAATAGTGAGAAGATTATTGGGAAGGCTAAGGTAAGAGGGAGGGCATGGGCGGGTGAGTGAGGTGGTGTGGGTGGGCATGAGAGGACAGGCGAGCAGGAGCAAGAGATCTAGTTTTGAGACGTCTCAAAACTGGTGTGAGACATGAGAGGACAGGCGAGCAGGAGCAGGAGATCTAGTTTTGAGACGTCTCAAAACTGGTGTGGGTGGGCATGAGAGGACAGGCGAGCAGGAGCAGGAGATTTTATTAAGGCTCCTCAAATGTGGGCATGAGAGGAGATGCGAGCAGGAGCAGGTGTTTTGGCCCGGCTATGCGACGATGATGCTATGCGGCGATGATGCTATGCGACGATGATGCTATGCGACGATGATGCTGTGCAGGCAGATTGGACTGCTGCTTGAAAGAAGAGTGTTTTTGAGACTTCTCAAAAACACTCTTCTTTCACGTGGCCTGGCTATGCGACGATGATGCTATGCAGGCGATGATGCTATGCAGGCGATGATGCTGTGCAGGCGATGATGCTATGCAGGCGATGATGCTATGCAGGCGATGATGCTGTGCAGGCGATGATGCTATGCAGGCGATGATGCTGAGCAGGCGATGATGCTATGCAGGCGATGATGCTGTGCAGGCGATGATGCTATGCAGGCGATGATGCTGTGCAGGCGATGATGCTATGCAGGCGATGATGCTATGCAGGCGATGATGCTGTGCAGGCGATGATGCTATGCGACGATGATGCTGTGCCGGCGATGATGCTATGCAGGCGATGATGCTGTGCAGGCGATGATGCTATGCAGGCGATGATGCTATGCAGGCGATGATGCTGTGCAGGCGATGATGCTATGCAGGCGATGATGCTATGCAGGCGATGATGCTATGCACGCGATGATGCTATGCAGGCGATGATGCTATGCAGGCGATGATGCTGTGCAAGCGATGATGCTCTGCAGGCGATGATGCTGTGCAGGCGATGATGCTATGCAGGCGATGATGCTATGCAGGCGATGATGCTGTGCAGGCGATGATGCTATGCAGGCGATGATGCTGTGCAGGCGATGATGCTATGCAGGCGATGATGCTGTGCAGGCGATGATGCTATGCAGGCGATGATGCTCTGCAGGCGATGATGCTGTGCAGGCGATGATGCTATGCGACGATGATGCTGTGCCGGCGATGATGCTATGCAGGCGATGATGCTGTGCAGGCGATGATGCTATGCAGGCGATGATGCTATGCAGGCGATGATGCTGTGCAGGCGATGATGCTATGCAGGCGATGATGCTATGCAGGCGATGATGCTATGCACGCGATGATGCTATGCAGGCGATGATGCTATGCAGGCGATGATGCTATGCAGGTGATGATGCTGTGCAGGCGATGATGCTATGCAGGCGATGATGCTGTGCAGGCGATGATGCTATGCAGGCGATGATGCTGTGCAGGCGATGATGCTGTGCAGGCGATGATGCTATGCAGGCGATGATGCTATGCAGGCGATGATGCTATGCAGGCGATGATGCTGTGCAGGCGATGATGCTATGCAGGCGATGATGCTATGCAGGCGATGATGCTGTGCAGGCGATGATGCTATGCAGGCGATGATGCTGTGCAGGCGATGATGCTATGCAGGCGATGATGCTATGCAGGCGATGATGCTGTGCAGGCGATGATGCTATGCAGGCGATGATGCTATGCAGGCGATGATGCTGTGCAGGCGATGATGCTATGCAGGCGATGATGCTATGCAGGCGATGATGCTATGCAGGCGATGATGCTATGCAGGCGATGATGCTGTGCAGGCGATGATGCTATGCAGGCGATGATGCTATGCAGGCGATGATGCTGTGCAGGCGATGATGCTATGCAGGCGATGATGCTGTGCAGGCGATGATGCTCTGCAGGCGATGATGCTGTGCAGGCGATGATGCTATGCAGGCGATGATGCTATGCAGGCGATGATGCTGTGCAGGCGATGATGCTATGCAGGCGATGATGCTATGCAGGCGATGATGCTATGCAGGCGATGATGCTATGCAGGCGATGATGCTGTGCAGGCGATGATGCTATGCAGGCGATGATGCTATGCAGGCGATGATGCTATGCAGGCGATGATGCTATGCAGGCGATGATGCTGTGCAGGCGATGATGCTATGCAGGCGATGATGCTATGCAGGCGATGATGCTGTGCAGGCGATGATGCTATGCAGGCGATGATGCTATGCAGGCGATGATGCTATGCAGGCGATGATGCTATGCAGGCGATGATGCTGTGCAGGCGATGATGCTATGCAGGCGATGATGCTATGCAGGCGATGATGCTGTGCAGGCGATGATGCTATGCAGGCGATGATGCTGTGCAGGCGATGATGCTCTGCAGGCGATGATGCTGTGCAGGCGATGATGCTATGCAGGCGATGATGCTATGCAGGCGATGATGCTGTGCAGGCGATGATGCTATGCAGGCGATGATGCTGTGCAGGCGATGATGCTATGCAGGCGATGATGCTGTGCAGGCGATGATGCTATGCAGGCGATGATGCTCTGCAGGCGATGATGCTGTGCAGGCGATGATGCTATGCGACGATGATGCTGTGCCGGCGATGATGCTATGCAGGCGATGATGCTGTGCAGGCGATGATGCTATGCAGGCGATGATGCTATGCAGGCGATGATGCTGTGCAGGCGATGATGCTATGCAGGCGATGATGCTATGCAGGCGATGATGCTATGCACGCGATGATGCTATGCAGGCGATGATGCTATGCAGGCGATGATGCTATGCAGGTGATGATGCTGTGCAGGCGATGATGCTATGCAGGCGATGATGCTGTGCAGGCGATGATGCTATGCAGGCGATGATGCTGTGCAGGCGATGATGCTGTGCAGGCGATGATGCTATGCAGGCGATGATGCTATGCAGGCGATGATGCTATGCAGGCGATGATGCTGTGCAGGCGATGATGCTATGCAGGCGATGATGCTATGCAGGCGATGATGCTGTGCAGGCGATGATGCTATGCAGGCGATGATGCTGTGCAGGCGATGATGCTATGCAGGCGATGATGCTATGCAGGCGATGATGCTGTGCAGGCGATGATGCTATGCAGGCGATGATGCTATGCAGGCGATGATGCTGTGCAGGCGATGATGCTATGCAGGCGATGATGCTATGCGGGCGATGATGCTATGCAGGCGATGATGCTATGCAGGCGATGATGCTGTGCAGGCGATGATGCTATGCAGGCGATGATGCTATGCAGGCGATGATGCTGTGCAGGCGATGATGCTATGCAGGCGATGATGCTGTGCAGGCGATGATGCTCTGCAGGCGATGATGCTGTGCAGGCGATGATGCTATGCAGGCGATGATGCTATGCAGGCGATGATGCTGTGCAGGCGATGATGCTATGCAGGCGATGATGCTGTGCAGGCGATGATGCTATGCAGGCGATGATGCTGTGCAGGCGATGATGCTATGCAGGCGATGATGCTCTGCAGGCGATGATGCTGTGCAGGCGATGATGCTATGCGACGATGATGCTGTGCCGGCGATGATGCTATGCAGGCGATGATGCTATGCAGGCGATGATGCTATGCAGGCGATGATGCTATGCAGGCGATGATGCTGTGCAGGCGATGATGCTATGCAGGCGATGATGCTATGCAGGCGATGATGCTATGCACGCGATGATGCTATGCAGGCGATGATGCTATGCAGGCGATGATGCTATGCAGGTGATGATGCTGTGCAGGCGATGATGCTATGCAGGCGATGATGCTGTGCAGGCGATGATGCTGTGCAGGCGATGATGCTATGCAGGCGATGATGCTATGCAGGCGATGATGCTGTGCAGGCGATGATGCTGTGCAGGCGATGATGCTATGCAGGCGATGATGCTATGCAGGCGATGATGCTGTGCAGGCGATGATGCTGTGCAGGCGATGATGCTGTGCAGGCGATGATGCTATGCAGGCGATGATGCTATGCAGGCGATGATGCTATGCAGGCGATGATGCTGTGCAGGCGATGATGCTATGCAGGCGATGATGCTGTGCAGGCGATGATGCTATGCAGGCGATGACGCTGTGCAGGCGATGATGCTGTGCAGGCGATGATGCTATGCAGGCGATGATGCTATGCAGGCGATGATGCTATGCAGGCGATGATGCTATGCAGGCGATGATGCTGTGCAGGCGATGATGCTATGCAGGCGATGATGCTATGCAGGCGATGATGCTGTGCAGGCGATGATGCTATGCAGGCGATGATGCTGTGCAGGCGATGATGCTATGCAGGCGATGATGCTGTGCAGGCGATGATGCTATGCAGGCGATGATGCTGTGCAGGCGATGATGCTGTGCAGGCGATGATGCTATGCAGGCGATGATGCTATGCAGGCGATGATGCTGTGCAGGCGATGATGCTATGCGACGATGATGCTGTGCCGGCGATGATGCTATGCAGGCGATGATGCTGTGCAGGCGATGATGCTATGCAGGCGATGATGCTATGCAGGCGATGATGCTGTGCAGGCGATGATGCTATACAGGCGATGATGCTATGCAGGCGATGATGCTATGCAGGCGATGATGCTATGCAGGCGATGATGCTATGCAGGCGATGATGCTGTGCAGGCGATGATGCTATGCAGGCGATGATGCTATGCAGGCGATGATGCTATGCACGCGATGATGCTATGCAGGCGATGATGCTATGCAGGCGATGATGCTATGCAGGCGATGATGCTGTGCAGGCGATGATGCTATGCAGGCGATGATGCTATGCAGGCGATGATGCTATGCACGCGATGATGCTATGCAGGCGATGATGCTATGCAGGCGATGATGCTATGCAGGTGATGATGCTGTGCAGGCGATGATGCTATGCAGGCGATGATGCTATGCACGCGATGATGCTATGCAGGCGATGATGCTATGCAGGCGATGATGCTATGCAGGCGATGATGCTGTGCAGGCGATGATGCTATGCAGGCGATGATGCTG